ACAGCTCACAGCAACCTCCAACTCCTGGGCTCAAGCGAGTCTCCTGCCTCTGCCTCCCAAGTAGCTGGGGCCACAGGCGCCCGCCACAACCCCTGGCTATATCTAGTTATTTTTTTTTGGTTGCAGCCATCATTGTTGTTTGGCGGGCCCGCGCTGGATTTGAACCAACCACCTTAGGTGTATGTGGCTGGCACCTTAGCCACTTGAGCCACAGGCGCAGAGCTGGTATTTCACATTTTAAAGAGGTTCACAGTCCTCCCGAATAAGTTAATCATTTCTGTTTGCATGGTGTCTTTTTCAAAATTTATTGTGCGGTTAATTTAATACATTTATTTGAGGGTGATCAGTGTGCTCCCGCCTAACTGTCACACTGCGGGGTACATAGCACCATTCCCAGGAGAGGGGTGAAAATGCAGTAGGGACCTCAAAGAGAATTGTTTGTACCCTCGCAATAATCTGCAATTTAAAACAAAACAAAACGTTTATTTGTAGGTTTTATTGAGAAGATTGAAGCTTGCTTTAAATAGCTTGCTTTGAAAATATCATCTTCTTTTTGGGTATTTATTTGTTGTATTTATATAGCTGAAGTTTTCCATTAATAGTATAATAAATACTGTTTTTATTTTGGTGGGTTTTTTTCCTTTATCCCACCATGCTCTTTGTAAGTCTTCTGATTAATAGTTTAAAATGATTCAAAAGCAGAAAACATCAGGAGAAAATAGAAGAACGTGACAAGTAGTTTTCTTCAATTTTTAATATTAGTCTGTGGCGCTTTTTTGTAAAACACTGTTGTATGGCCAGAGGTTTAATTCTTTTTCTTTACTTTCCTTGTGGCTCTTTTAGCATAACTTTTATTTGCGTTTTTGCAGTTGTAGCAACAAAGCAAAGACAAAGAAAGGTGTTAATAAAATACTTGCCATATTTGACATATTAATATAAGAAATTTGCAAGGTCATTAATTTTAATGAACAGAAACATCCAGGCTGGGTTAAAATCACTCCTTTGAGTAAATACTAACAGAGAAGAATGTATTTTATATTTCGGAAAGGAAAGACTATCTGGCCTGCCATCTGTTAATTTTTACTACCTCCTATTTAATTGGAGAGGCAGAGTGTTAGGGACAGTTGTTATGTTTTAGTTGTCACAGTATCTCTTAGAGTGCTTACTAAAATGTGTCTCAGAGATTCTGATTCTTTAAGTCTGGAGGGAGAACCAGGAATGACTTAAATTTTTAGACAGAGTCTCACTGTGTCACCCTTAGTAGAGTGCTGTGGCATCAGAGCTCACAGCAACCTCAGACTCCTGGGCTCAAGGATCTTGCCTTGGCCTCCTAAGTACCTGGGACTATAGGTGCCTGCCACAATGCCCGGCTATTTTTAGAGACGGGCTCACTCTAGCTTAGGCTGGTTTCGAACTCCTTGAGCTCAAGCGATCCACCCTAGTCCACCCTATTCAGCCTCCCAGAGTGTTAGGATTGCAGTCATGAGCCATCCCTCCAGGCCCACAAATGACTTTTTAAAGAAGCTCCCCAGGGAGTTCTGATGTGACTTGACCTAGGGCTACACTTTTCTTTTTTTTACTTTATCTAGTAAGACTGCAAGATTTTTGTTTTGTTTTTTTTACTAGGGCCAAACTTTTGAGTAACCCGTCAGCGGAGGTTAGAATCAGACTAGGAGTTCTTTGTCAACTATTTCCCAGCCTCTTCCTCTAGGATGCCAAGTTAGTGAGGTCTTGAGGAGGTACCAAGGGTTCAATGAAGGCACCATTTCTCACTCATGTAGAGGTAATGAGAAAGCCAGTGCCCACGCACCAGTTTTTCTTTGCTTAAGCAATCATGGACAAGGGCAGACACTGCTGAAATTCAGTGACAATCAACTAAAAGCAGTTTTCCAATAACCAAATCTCAGCTGTATTGACTTTGAAATTTGAGGTATGCGTTCTGGAATCTTTTACTGTCCTGCATTGCAGGTGGTGGCATAAACCTCAGGTGGTGTTCAAATCGTGCTGCCAGCAGTGCAGAGATAGGATGACTAGAGATGTGAGCCTTTGGCGCAGGACATTGAGCAAAACTCAGCAAGATGCTCTGAGTTAGGAAACAGTTTGTGTGTAAATGTCTCTGTTGAGGGCTGTACCAGGTTTGTTCTCTTCTTATTTTTATATGTCAGCTATAGACTGAATCATTTTATTATTACTGATGGACACACACTTTATTTGGTATTGAACTTACTGGTAAGGACAGCTTATTTGGCTCACTTTTGGGTATTTTCTTTGGTCTTAAATTAGTCTTTTTTTTTTTATCCAAGGATTTGGATTATTTTATTAATATACTTTTAATGCAATATTATTGTATAGTTAGTAAAATGCAAATTTGAAATGCATTAAAAGACTTATACTTTCTCAGTATCAGGGCAAAATATCAACTTGTAATTCTGGAACCCCTTTTTGGGGAAGATCAACAGAAATTTTGCAATTTAAGATTTTAGTATAAAGAGCAATATAACTCTCTATTTAAAAATCTCCCTCTGCAGAAATGGCAGATAATGGGGTCTTCCTCATCTTGTTACGAGCCCCGTTTGGAAATCCCAGCTGTTTTAAAGTGAGTAAAAGTTCCAAATATTCAGGCTGGACTTGGTTATACACTTTCTCTGAGAATGTGTTATGTTGATTTGCTGTTTCTGTGGTGCCCACCCCCACTTCATCCTGAATCCGTTTTAAGCTATAAACTTAGTGAAGAAAGTTAGTCTGAAGACACAGAGATGTGCTTAGAGAGTTGACAAAAGTCTAGTTTGCCATTAATAAGTATGAGACAACTTACTTGATAAAGAATGATAAAAATTTTGTTTAGCTGATTTTATGCACAGTTTTGACAAGAAACTACTTCAGAGTTTGTGCACAGCAATGCTTTGGAATTCACTGTTAATCTAAATCTCATTAAGTGGGACATTTAATTTTTGTGTTGAAAAGCCTATACAAATAGAATTTAAAATATCCTCAGTGATAACATTGACTCATGGCAGTACATTCTGATAGTACATATGTCAGGCATATTTAACAACTTTTTGGAAACATTACCAAGGATTTGTCAGGGACATAATATTAAAGATTATGGAATGTCACTTGAAGCAGTGGAAGTCAGCCCTTACCAGGTGAGATAGAAATAAACAATGTACATTTTTGGTGTTCCTTATAAATTTTTGTCTCCGGATAAAACTGAGCGGCAGGATATGAAGGTAGTAAATACATTCAAAGGTGCAGACTCGAGCTTTGCTTTTGCCACTTACTAGCTGTGTGGTCTTCACAGACTTGTCCCAGTGCCTCATCATACTCACCCGTAAAAAAGAGGGTAATAGTGCCTAACTCCACAGGGTTGTTGTGGGAGTGAGTTAACAAAGATTTCTAGGATACTTCACATCACATAGCAAGTAGCACATTCAGTAATCATTAGCCACTATTGTCATTACCTTTCTCACATTACACACTTCACAAGTGTGATGAGCTTTTAAGAAAATATAATTAGGCTCCGCGCCTGTGGCTCAAGTGGCTAAGGTGCCAGACACATACACCTAAGGTAGTGGGTTCGAATCCAGCCCAGGCCCACCAAAAACAACAATGACGGCTGCAACCAAAACATAGCCGGGCGTTGTGGCAGGCGCCTGTGGTCCCAGCTACTTGGGAGGCTGAGGCAGGAGACTC